GCAGGATGGCCACGAAGAGAAATGGCACCAGAAAATCAGGTTACTTGTGGAAAATGTAATAAAAAGGGCATAATTCGCATACATGCAGTCGAAGACTTAGAAATAGAAAATAGTATGTGTATTTTATTTAATATTAAATAATTTCTATAACATGTAATTAGGCTTGCATAGTAACATTCAAAATTGCGCTGATAATGCAATTTATTTTTTAATAATGAAATTCTAAAACGTCTAATTAATCATGACGCTATTATGTTTAAACTGATTTTTTTAGCTTACAATATATTTGGGCCCTTATTTGTAATAATTTTCAAAATTCGGGCCTCTATTTGTATTATTTTCATTTTGGGCCCTTATTTGTAATTATTTTCAGTTTTGGGCCCTTATTTGTAATTTCCCCTATTTTTTTTATATAATTATTTGGCACGAAGTGTCGAATAACTGAGATTAGAGACTGGACTCGTCAACTCGTGACTCGAATAACTCGAGTCCGAATCATAAAATTTTTAACTCGCGAGTACTCGAGTTAATTATTAATGTATAATGATTAAAATGACTAATACACTTTGCATTGATAAATTTTGTAAGCTGCATAAGTAATGTCGTAATTTTAGCGTAATTCTTTAACATTAATGTAATTTATTGCAATCGCAAATTTTTAATAAAAATAAATACGTAATTTATTGCAATCGCAAATTTTTTTTAAAATAAAAAATTTAAGACTTAAAAACAATTTCATAATACAAACATTGAGCAAAACAAAAGCACTGTGAACAGGAAGAATCCTGTAATAAAACGAATAGTCAAAACGCAACTACCAAAGGTAGAACTCCAAGTTTCGTTTGGGATCGTATATATTTGCTTAAAAATTATTCTTGCTTTATAATATACGTACAAAATTGAATTATATTTGCTTCGTGTAACTCGCTATTTAAAGTAATTTGTCTTTGTAACTTGCAATTTATAAATCTACTAATAAATTAATTACCATGACTCGAATTACTCGAATAAAAACTCGAGTAAGTAATTAGAACGAATAATTCGAGTACTCTTCGAAGTTTAATTCACAGTTTATACGAGTCCAGTCCCTAACTGAGGTATTTGCTGTATGCGATTTGATTGGTTGATTTTAAGCACCGAAAGTGCGCAAAATTCGGTCAAGCGAATACCAGTAAAATACCGTGCTAGTAAACCGTAGTTATGAGTACTTCGTGCTTGAACTGTTTTATCCGGTATTTATATTTATTGAATTTTGCATTCCAACTGTTGGCCGGCACTTCTGTTGGCAATTATATAAAATACATAATCTTTAAAAGTTTATAAATAAAAACCAAAAACCTAAAGAACAAAGTTACAGGATTTAATTAATACGTAATTAATAGTTATATCCTTTTAAATTTTGGCCCATCTTAATTTTGGTCAAAATTCTTTGAAATAAACATAATGCTGGCCTCTTTTTAGAATCCGGATCCATACTTGGGCCCGATCCGAATTTTCGGATCGAATCCGGATCCCTGAAAATATCCGTCAGATCCGGAACACTAATTACGTTTAAAAATAAAAATTTTCTACAGGGGGATCCTCAGATTTCCGGGTCGTAATGGCCGGAGTTAGGGCTGAGTTAGGATTAGCGGGAGCTATAGGCTATAGTAAAATTATCAGCTGGGCACTTTTCACTTAATGAACGACTATTGTTTCATTACTAAAATTCTTAGTGATCTTGGGGCAAAATTGATCAACTCCGGCCCTTCCGGCAAGAGTTCCGAAGTGTCCGACCCGGAATTTTGGGATCTCTCTGTAGGAGTTCGTTAAAAAGGTAGATGAGCGTTTAACGTTAAATGTCAGAATGCGGCATTTCCTATCTTTTCTTTTATGCTTTGTGGTTTGTATCACTCACACAAATAACAAATAAGTATTTCGCAGCCAATGCCCGTGTCCAAATTATATGTTTTCGGTTTTTTGATTTCTTGCGTACAGACAATCATCTGATTGTTTAATCTTTTTATATATGTTACACGGCTGCAAGATTGATAATCCAAATCAGTGCAAAAAAGGTGTTACTAGAAAATTATATTATAAATAGGGCAATTTAATGGACGCCGTAGTGAGATTTTAAATCATTACTGCATGACGACGAACCAATATCAAGACAAGCTTCCAAAGTTACCCATACCTCCTTTGGAAGAGACTTTGCAAAGATACTTGAATGCCATTAAGCCTCTTCAGGTATTAATTTAACACGTGTAATTCCTTGTTTACGTATGTCAAAGAATTTCAAGAATTTCAAAATTCACGCGTCTTGTGCTGGGAGCTTATCATAGTATAACGGATAAAAGCTATATTCATAAAGTACATAGAGATAAGAAACAAGGATAAAGGATGGATATAATCTAATTTTTACTTAAAGTATTATGAACAAATCTGAAAAAATAAATAAATCATGAATTTTACATGGTCCAATCGAATATATTGTTAACAACTTATTTTTCCTTTTTTGGCTTATAGAGTGAAAAGGACTATTTGCAAACTTCCACTGTAGTGAGTGAATTTCTTCAAAATGAAGGTCCAAAGCTTCAAGAAAAACTTCAAAGTTATGCTACTGATAAGTCCAGTTATATAGAAGAATTTTGGTATGATTCTTACCTCAATTATACCGATCCGGTAGTTCTTAACTTGAATCCATTTTTCGTTTTGGCGGATGATCCGACACCGGCAAGAAATAATCAAGTTAGTCGCGCGGCCTCATTGATACTCTCATCTCTGAATTTCATCCATGCATTGAGAACTGAAACATTGGAACCTGATGTATTTAGGGGAACTCCTCTTGACATGTCACAGTTTCAACGTATGTTTGGAACAGCTCGTTTACCAACCGAAAATGGTTGTAAAATGGAAACAGACCACAAATCTAAACATATTGTTATTTTATGTCGTGGTCAATTTTATTGGTTTGATGTTTTAAATGAGAATAATAATGTTGGAATTACAGAAAAAGAGCTAGTTGCCAATCTCAAAACAATAAAACAGGATGCCATTGGTTTACCAATTGTAGAAGTAGCGAAACAAGCAGTAGGAATTCTCTCCACTGAAAATCGTAGGATTTGGGCTGATCTGAGAGATATGCTAGAAAAGTCTTCAGAAAATAAAGATTTTTTAAAAGTGCTTGATTCTGCATTATTTGTTGTTTGTTTGGATGAAGTATCCCCTAAAACTGGTGATGAACTAGCGACTAACATGCTTTGTGGTACATATGATGTACAAGAAGGAGTACAAATTGGCACCTGTGCTAATCGGTGGTACGATAAATTGCAAATAATTGTGTGTGAAAATGGTTCTGCCGGTGTAAATTTCGAACATACAGGTATGTTCTAACAAATTTTACAAATTTTATTTGTAATATGCAATAACCTTTGTTTTTGTATAAAAGGTGTTGACGGTCATACTGTTCTACGTTTCGTTTCTGATATCTACACCGATACAATATTACGCTTTGCATCGACCATTAAAAGTCATCAGAAGTCATTGTTTCATTCAATTCCTGGAAATTCAAATGATGCTAAATATTCAAATGGTATTAGCACTATTGATATTATGCCAAAAAAACTTGAATGGATTTTATCCCCTGAAGTGCGCGCTGGAATTAGATTTGCTGAAACGAGATTAAGTGATCTTATTCTGCAAAATGAGGTTCAAGTTCTTGAGTTTGAAAAATATGGAAAGAGTTTTATTACAAGTTGTAATATGAGTCCGGATGCATTTGTACAAGTATGTGAAATATACTTAATTGTTAATTTACTGCTATTTAGATAAAGAATCTTATGTTCTGCTATCTTTTAGATCGCTTTTCAAGCTGCGTATTATGGTTTATATGGATCAATTGAATCTACATACGAACCTGCTATGACCAAAGCATTCTTCCATGGTCGTACAGAAGCAATTCGTTCCGTAACGACAGGTTCTGTCGATTTTGTTAAGCTTTGGTGGGCTGATGGGCCTGACTCTGAAAAACTCAAATCTCTCCGAAAGGCAATTAAGGCTCACGCGGATCTGACAAAAATGTGTGCAAAGGGTTTTGGTCAAGATAGACATTTATATGCATTGTTATGTGTTTGGAAAAGGGAAAATCCTAATAGTGAAGAAAAGATGCCTGCAATATTTAAAGATTCTGGTTGGGTAACATTGAATCACACTGTTCTTAGCACAAGTAATTGTGGGAATCCGGCATTAAGATTTTTCGGATTTGGTCCTGTAGTTTCTGATGGGTTCGGACTTGGTTATATTATTAAAGATGAAGGAATTGCTGTAAGTTTTAGTGTTCGTAATATGTAACTTAATTACAATTTGTATATTTTAATTAAACTATTATATTTTGTTATTTTCAGTTTTGTGCATCTTCTAAACATAGACAGACGCGTCGTTTCCTTCAAACTCTGGAGAATTATCTTAACGATATACATTTATTGCTCCGCTCTGAAAAACAAGCACCTGATGTTTCTAATTCTAGATATGAAGAAGAACGCATAAGCATGCTTTCAGGGTACGGCTACTTTGATGCTGGTGGTATCGATCAATTACTTGAGCATCGGATGGAAGAAAAGAGAGGAGGTATGAAACAAGTTGGCAAGGCATTAAAGTTAGTGGATTATTAAAGGTGATTTTATTCTTTCAATTTATTTATTGACCTGATAATTTTCTTATGAGGTGATGTCACCTATTCGCGAGAACCAAAGCAAAAATCTTTAAATAACAATTATTATTATTATTATTATTATTATTATAGAACCTGGCTTTGGGCTTCAGTGTCAAATTTTGCATGTTACAGTATATCATTCAATTGGTGCAGACATATTCCCGTAACTTAGTTACGACAATATAAAAAGTTCGTCAAACCTGCATTTAATATATGGCGCGCAACGAAGACATTAGTGGCATAATGTGTAAGGTTAGCCCGAATTCACCATCTTTAAAAATATGAGTGATATCACCACAAATGATGAAATAGTTATAATCTTATTTATTTATCCATTATTATTTCATTATTTATATCAGTTGTTTAGTTTTGTAATTATATGCACGTGTTAAACTAGAGCGCTTGCTTATTAGACACAGCTCTATAACTTATTTTTGTAATTCAAACAGTTGTATTTTTAAAGCAACTCTAAACATGATTTCACACGTATTCTAATTGTTGAATTAAAGAATTTTTATAAATAGTTTATCAAAATTATAAATCTATTTGATAAATAACTTTACTTTTGAAATTAAATTCAATATAAATAAATAGTCTTTACTACGTATTTATATATGTTTAAGACAAATTTGGTATTTTATCAAATATATAAAAAAGGTAGTTCTGGTATTATTTATATCTTTACTATAGTATTTGTTTTTAGATTAATAGATTATATCAAACCATTTTTGATTTATTAAGATGGCATTTTATTTTTTTTGTTTTTTAGTTTCAACGGGATTCTGCCTTTATTTTCTGGATACGATATTTATAGCATAGAAGAAACGGGAAAATACGGATGTGTTTTTGTTGTGATCATCCAATCAAAGCCAGCCATAGGAAGATCGTATTGCTATAATTT